CCTTCACCTTACAGGGTTCAGGTAATCCTCTGACCTCAGCCTCCCTAGTAGCTAGGACTACAGGCACATGCCACCATACCTGGCTAGTATTTTTGTATTTTGTATTTTTATATTTATTTATTCATTGAGACAGAGTTTCACTCTTATTGCCTAGGCTGGACTGCAGTGGCACAATCTCGGCTCACCACAACCTCTGCCTCCCAGGTTCAAGCGATTCTCCTGCCTCATCCTCCCCAGTAGCTGGGATTACAGACATGTGCCACCACACCCGGCTAATTTTGTATTTTTAGTGGAGATGGGGTTTCTCCATGTAGGTCAGGCTGGTCTTGAACTCCCGACCTCAGGTGATCCGCCCACCTCGGCCTCCCAAAGGGCTGGGATTACAGGTATGAGCCACCGCACCTGGCCATTTTTGTATTTTTTATAGAGAAGGGGTTTCACAATGTTGCCCAGGCTGGCCATGAACTCCTGGCCTCAAGCAGTCTTCCAACCTCGGCCTCCCCAAATGCTGAGATTATCTGACCTATGCTGACATTTTTTTAAGGAGACACGGTCTTGCTCTGTTGCCCAGGCTGGAGGGCGGTGGGGTGATCATAGCTCACTGTAGCTCCCAGGCGGCACTGATGCTGCTCAGTTGAGAACCACATTCTGAGCTTCATCCACTCTCAAGATTCTCAAGAAAGCCTGGATTCTCCAACTCCTGGGCTCAAGTGATCCTCCAGCCTCAGCTTCCCAAGTAGCTGGGACTACAGACACACACCACCATGCCTGGCTATGAAATTCTTAATTTCTCAACAAAAGGCCCTACACTAATACTTTGTATTGGGCCTGGCAAATTCTGTAGCTGGTCTAGCACACAAATTCTGAGAAGAAAATTTACAGATACCCAGCATGCATACCAAACTGGGACTAACAGTTCAATCCAACACCTTACTTAACTTTTCTTTTTTTTTTTTTTTTCCCAAGACAGAGTCTCAACCAGGCTCTGTCACCCAGGCTGGAGTGCAGCTGCGAGATTTCGGCTCACTGCAACCTCCGTCTCTCGGGTTCAAGCGATTCTCGTTTCAACCTCCCGAGTAGCTGGGATTACAGGCGTGTGCCACCACACCTGGCTAATTTTTGCATTTTTAGTAGAGACGGGGTTTTGTCATGTTGCCCAGGCTGGTTTCAAAGTCCTGGGCTCAAGTGATCCACCCGCCTCGCCTCCCAAAATGCTGGGATTACAGGCATGAGCCACCACGTCTGGCCTCCAACACCTTACTTTTCTAAGGAAACCAAGTATCTCACATTAATTGTACTGATTCTTAGAGTCAAGCAGACCTGGGCTGAGTCCCGAGGCTGCAACTGACCAGCCATGGGACCACAGGCTCACTGTGTATTTAAGATAGCTTAGCCACTATTTCCTGTTTCCCCAGTTATGAAAGGAGGAGGTTGAACTGGGTGGGGTATCCTCAGCCCTGATAACATACATCAGTTACTGAGGGAGGGGAGATTAATATTCTGAATCAATTGGTGTGGGGTGGAGCTAGGGGGTTTGAAAGCTCCCGGGAGCATCTCATGAATAGCCAGGGTTTGGAACCACTTCTCAGCCTTCAGGAACCTTCAGGCTCTGGCACTTAGAGCTTGGATAGCTTATTCTAGGACTTCTGCAGAAATATCTTGAACCTTCCTGCAAGTTCCCAGGCAGCTTGGAGACCTCCTTTCTCAAGACATTTGTGTCCTACATCCCCACAGGGCTCCAGCCCTCCTCAGTTTCAGATTTTCTTTTCTTTTTATTTTTTTTTTTCTGAGACAGAGTCTTCCTCTGTTGCCCAGGCTGGAGTGCAATGGAGTGATCTCGGCTCACTGCAACCTCCACCTCCCAGGTTCAAGTGATTCTCCTGCCTCAGCCTCTCAAGTAGCTAGGACTACAGGTGCATGCCACCACGCTCGGCTAATTTTTGTAGTTTTAATAGAGATGGGGTTTCACTATGTTGGCCAGGCTGGTCTCGAACTCCTGACCTCAGGTGATCCGCCCAACTTGGCCTCCCCAAGTGCTGGGATTACAGGCGTGAGCCACTGTGCCCAGCCAGTTTCAGATTTTCTAAGGTTCTGCAACTGCCCAAGGAACTGGCCTGAACCACCAAGAAATCTTCCCCAGAAAGGAAAGACAGCCCATGTTCATGCTAGGACAACACAAAAGCCTATTTTGTTTTGCAGTGTAACTGTTCTTCAGGATAGCTTTTAAGAAAATAGGCTCTGGCATGTGGATAGGCAAAAATAGAATAAAAATTCCTAGCAAGTACAGTGTAATCCTGTTAGCATAAGAGCGTGCATTGGCTGGGCTCAGTGGCTCACGCCTGTAATCCCAACACTTTGGGAGCCCTAGGTGGGCGGATCACAAGGTCAGGAGATCGAGACCATCCTGGCCAACATGGTGAAGCCCCGTCTCCACCAAAAATACAAAAATCAGCCGGGTGTAGTGGCGGGCGCCTGTACTCCCAGCTACTCAGGAGGCTGAGGCAGGAGAATCGCTTGAACCCCAGAGGTGGAGTGCAGTGATCACTCCACTGCACTCCAGCCTGGGCGACAGAGCGAAACTCCATCTCAAACAACAACAACAGCAATAACAAAAAAAAGAGTGTGCATTTATGTCTATAACTACGTAAGTATAAATGAATAGAAGAGAGATCAGGAAGGGTGGCTGGCCACCACTATGTTGACAGTAATTCTCTTTTTTTCCTTTGCCCTTTTCAGTTTGAGTTTTTAGTAAATAGGATTACTTATTTTTATCATCTGAGAATAAAGCTATTTCCTTTTTGAGCTACAGTGGTAATTTACATCTAAGTGGGAGGAAGGCTCATGAAGTTTGGGGTTCTTTTATTTTTCTGAGTCTAAAATCTATTATCTAGTAAGTTGCTGGTGTGCTAGAATAACGATGAACAAGAAACATTTGTTCATGAACCTTTTATAAAAATAGAACACGTTCTAAGGAAGCCATTCATCCTCATTTTAAAAATGACTTTTAAAAAAATCTAAGAAGCAGGGTGTACCCTCCTGTGACCTCCCCAGCCTGGGGTCTGGAGCTGAGAGGGAGGACGCTGACCCCAAGTCACCCAGCCCTGGGACCGGTTCCGCTCCGTAAGTGGAAAGGATCTGGAGCCAGGGCTGGAAGAATTCCCGTGGGGACTCGGAGATTCAGCACCGTGGGGGAAGGGAGGGGAGTGGAGGGTGCTGGACAGTTGCAGCGGGGAGGAGAACCGGTGTCACTTTCGCTGAACCTGACCGCAGCCCCCGGCGGAGCGGCGGCCCTTATATAGACACCCCACTGGCGCTCCCACTCCGCGTGCCAAGGTCAAGGAGGGAGGTTACACCTGCGCGCGGCCAGAACAGCTGCACCGACCCCCACCTGCACCCTCGCCACAGCCGGCGCCCCTTGCCCAAGTTCCTGCAGCTCTGACCCAACAAGGAGCCCCGACCTTTCCTCCACCCCTCCCCCAAGCACCTGTTCCCCCTCCTCTAAACTGGCTCACGCCTCTCCTTCCCTTCCCCCAGCTTCATCGTCCTGGAAGCTTCTCCCCCCGGCTCACCCCGGCGTGGGAGAACCCCATGATTCTCGCGCCTGACTACTCCCACGATGCAATCCTTGAACCTGTCCCCCGCTCCCTCCACCACGCACGGGCTTCCCCTCTCCGCGACCCCCAGCTGCCCCGGCCCGCGCCC